AAATATTGATTGCTTTTCACCTGTTAGCAGTAAAATCCCATCCAGTTAATTAACCTGCTCAGAGATAAAGTTTATTTCTGCCCTTCACCTTCAGCTCCAAATCTTTAAACCCATTAATACAAGTACCTGGTCAATGAATAAATCTCCCAGAGTGGTGTTCGGGGTCTTCTGTGATCTGGCTCCAGCCTAAGTTTCTGACTTCACTTCCAGCTACTTACCTTCAAGTACCTTCCACTCTAGTTGAATGGAAGAGCTAATGTATCCAGCATTCCCACTCCCACAAATACGCTTCCCTCCTCTGAATTCTACATATTTTAACTCAGTTCAGATGTTACTTATAGAAAAGGGCTTTCCTAGAGCTCTGGCATCTTAACTTTCCCCCTTCTCTCCTAACTGTTGCCCAGTTGTAAGCATTAATTACCACCTTATTCTAACACGCCCACAACTTTGAATATCTTTGTAGCATCTATTATTTTATACCTTCTATTATGCTTATGTAAACATTTATAGTACTAGACCTTTGAGGATGCAATTCCAATTTATTTTTGTGTCCCCCACATCTCCCAACACAATGCCTTGCCTATGATTAGTGTTCAGTAAATATTTTTTGAATGCTTAAATGGAGACTCATTGATTTAACATTTTCTTTATTGTGGCTTTTACTCTTGGGGCTCACAACCGCTATTTCATCAGCAGCACAAGGAGGCTCTAACTCAGTGAAGTGCTTTTCAGGATTTACATTATATTTAAAACAGAACTCTCAAGCCCAGTGGTTCTCAACCTTGGCTGCACATTAGAATCACCTGGGAATCTTTTGAAAATCCTGATTTCTGGGCCTCACCCTCTGGAAATTCTGTTTCTTTGTTACTGGGGTGGGGCCACAACATTAGTAACAAAGAAACAGAATATCCGGAGGATGAGGCCCAGAAATCAGGATTTTAAAAAGATTCCCAGGTGACTCTAAAGTGCAGCCAAGATTGAGAACCACTGCTCAAGCCTTTCAGTCTTTCTGAAGACTGTCCTGTGGTTGCTTCCCATCCTTAGCAGCTTTCTGTTTCTAGAAATCCTGATTTCAGTGGGAGGGGCGGGAAAGAGTCTTCTTGTGGATAATGCCCCTTTCTATGACTCTGAATACAGACTTCATATGGCTTTCTATCTCCTGTCCCAGTTTACTTGCATGCCACATTTGGAGCTAGCATTTACCAGCACAAAAACAGATAGTTGATTTTAGGTGAAACAGACATTCCATCATGTATGAGAGCCCTCACATGTATGTGTCTAACTTGAAGGGGAGAAATATGGTAGCTTCACTAAACAAAAAGGCCATTCATTCATTCATTCATTCAGTATTCATTTTCTTAGTCACCCACCAGACTCTAGGTGCTATATGATGTGCTGATGATACAAATACAAATACTGGTTCCTGCCTTTGAGGAGCTCTGACTCTTGTAAAGGGAGATGAATGTATGATGAGACCATTATTATACAGTGTGATTTGCACAATGACAGAGGCAGGCACAGGGTGATGTGGAGCCCAGAGAATTTGCTTTGAGAACAGACGGATTTTTTTTAAACAAAGAAATGAATTTTACAGCACAGTGGTCATGTGCAGATATCAATAATATACACATTATTTTGTACTTATTAATAGCATCAGCATCATCTTCAAATCCCTCACTCTGGGCCAGGTCTCCACTGCCTTGGTGGGTACTGAAGCATGATTCAAACAAGCAGCCACACAGGCTTAACCAAGACCTAGACTTAGATCCTTGCTCCTCAGAGCTTGTAAGAATGAATCATTCAAGGAGATGGCAGCAAAGGGGGTAATTTTCTCTTGATTCATAGGGCTGAACTTCATGCCAATGATATTTTGGTGCAGAGATTTTGAATGCTATTCTGTCTATGGCTCCACCATTTCTAAAGACATTGCTACAGCTGTGTGGATGACTCATTGGGATAGTTTGTGCAAGTCTATGGCCCTGAAGCTGTGTGTGTGTGTGTGTGTGTGTGTGTGTGTGTGTGTGAGAGAGAGAGAGAGAGAGAGAGAGAGAGAGAGAGAGAGAGACCTCTAAGGAGAGGCAAGAAAGCAATGCTGCAAACATTGAGCATTTGTATAGACCACTTTAAGTTTTCTTTTTCTTGCTCTTCACATTTGGGGACTAATTTTCTACTTTTCTGCTCACTAAGAACTTTTTGAGGAAAATGGAGTAGGGTGACATGAGTCAGATAAAGAATAAGAAAAGAAATTTCAAATCCATTTCAAATTACCTTTTGTCAGTGGCTCAGTGAAAGGCTGGAGATATTGGTTAAGATGAGGCTGTCACATTACTTTAGATTCGTATGCTCCACAATTGAAAGAGGTCTATGGCTTGGAGTAATTAATGATGACTCTGGTGATAGAGGTGGTGGTCATAATCCATTCAACAAATATGTATTGAGCACCTACTACATGCCACCACTGACCTAGACACCTGGGATCGAAATGGACTCCCCTTAATAAATCTCTGCCATTGGGGCTTAAATTCCAGAAGAAACTGGCAAAATGGTGCTAGCATTCCCCTTCTTGTTTGAACTATTTCCTTCTCATAAGTTCCTAGTCATGACGGCTTGTTCTCCATTAAGTGCCAGTATCGGCTCGAGAATCATAAAACTTTATCTCTTCCAAAGCTTGAAGATTGTTATCTGCTTAAAATGTTTATATGAGCAGAGAAATGGACTCCGGTTCAGATGTAGAAGTCTGTGTATGTGCGTTGAGGGGTGGGTGGGGGCGGTGATAGTGTACAGTGGGAAGAAATTCTACTGCCCTACTCTCCACTGATACTTTCCAGCTGGGGGAAAATACATGTTAATACCCGAATTGCTCCCCTCCAGCCCACTTGCCTTTCCCCCTCTGCCTCCACTTTGCTCCCTCCTCCCTTCCTTTCTAAATCCCTCCCTCTCCTCCTTCCTTCCCTTTCCTTTGGTCCCTCCCCACTCCCTTCCCTCACTCAGTTCTTCTCCTCTCTGGCTCCCTTTCTCTCTAGCCTTTTCCCCTCTCCTCCTCTTTCCCTCCTCCATTCCTCCGCGTCTGCGCCAGGCCCCCACCTGCAGGGCGTGCGGGGTCTGGGTGGGAGCTGTCCACTCGCCCCGGGTGCTGAATGCAGCAGCGGCGGGCGCGGCGGCGGCAGAGATAACTGGGAGGTTTCTTCGCTCCAAGAACACTGTTTCCAGTCCTCAGACAGTCAACTCACAGCCCACGCCACCTCTCCTCCAGCACCACCCCTTTGGGACCTGAGCCAAGGGGGCAGCGGTCGAGGCGGCGGGTGCTGAGCAACGGCGGAAGACGAGACAACACCTGGCAGCAGCCTGGAATCTGATTTGCTTCCTCTCCCCTTTTAGAGGAGATATATTTATATACGGTTTTGGGGAGTCGCGAGAACCGAGCCGGGGCCAAGTGCGGACTACATCCCACCTGGGCCACACTGCTTCGATTCCCTCTCCCCACCTTCAACCGGCACCGCAAACCAGCCTTACCTCGTTGCATCTGCGGAGAGAGGTAGCAACAGCGAGCCCAGCCAGCCAGAGGCGGTGGCGAGGAGGGAGTGGCGGCGTGGGGGCTGGGGGCGAAGAGAGCCGGCGAGGCCGCCCTTGGTGGGGGTAGCGGGGGCAGAGCTGCGGCGAGGACCCCGCAGCCGCCCTCCTTCGCTCCCACCCCTCCAGGAGCACTCTTTCCGATTATTTGAGAACCGAATTATTCCTCTTCCACTAGTACCATCTCATTTTTTATTACCTCCCTTCCCCGCTCCTCAGCCTCCCCCACCCTACGCCGGCCTCGCCTCTGGTTGCATGGCAGCGCTGCCCCGGCGCGGGGGCTCAGGGCCAGCCCCCCGGGAAGGAGGAGGATCATGAAGCCTGGAGTCGCAGCCACGCCGGACCGCGAGAGGCAGCCAGAGGAGCCCCCGCCCCGGAGACACCCAGACGCCGACCAGCAGTCGCCACCGCCTTCGCAGCAGCCTCGCCGGCCGCGGGCAGACCCGGAGCCAGACCAAGGGGGCGACCACCGTCCAGCGGAGGACGAGGAGGAGAACGCGAGGCCACACACCCGCCCGGACCTGCCCTTCTCCAGGCCCTCGCCCCTCGCCGGAAGGGACCTTTGATGGAGCCCAGGGGAGGGGTCCGAGGATTTACAGACTGTCGCAGGGTGGGCTAAAGGCTGAGGTCATGTAACTACTTCCTTCTGTCCCTTTTTACACACCCCTCCTCTCTACCCCCTTTCTCTGCTCCACTGCCTCCCGCCCCCCTCCCCCCATACACACCCTTCTTCCAGGAAGAAGGCGCTTTGCAAGGGTTAAAAGATCTTTTCTTTCTCCTTCCTCGGTCCTTTATTTCCCCACCTTTATTCTCCCGATTAGCTTTCCCTTTTTTGTGCAGCCCTTCGGCTGCAGAGGCAAAGCACAAGACCCTTGGCCAAGTTCACCTGTGATCCCTTCCCCCCATCCAACTGCTCTCTTAAAAGCAACACCGGTGCTTCTGGGGTTAATTGCCCCAGTTTTCTGCCCAGGAGAATTAAAACTTGTCCCCACCCCCTCTCCTTCCTACCTTATCTCCCCTTCCCCCCGCCCCCCCCCCCAATCTCTGGCTACCTGAAGAAATAATCTTTTCCCTCTCACACATACAGTCCTCAATTCTTCATTGAGCTAGTTTGCCCTAATCCCAGCTCAGTCCACTCCAAATTTGATTTATAATCTTCTCCACCTTTTTATATACAAGAAGAAAGGTTGCCCATTGTCTATGAATTTGAGAACAACCCAATAATCCTCTCCTGGGGAACTTTCTAACAATTAGACCTACATCTCAAGGCCCTAACAGACTATCCTCAACATTTCTTTTATCCCCCTTCCTCTACCAGTGCCCCCAGGTCAAAGGCAGAAAGGAGGCAGCCTGAGCAAAGCCTAAGGTTGGGGTGAGGTGGGGTGGAAGCAAGAGAAGCTTTTATTGTTGGGCTTTCCAGGTAAAGTTCAGAATCAGTGACTTGCAGTCTTCAGTCCTGGGGGTAATTTATTTGCTACTTGGAGGAACCAGTGAGAAAGCAGACTCCCGCATAACACAGATACTCTGTGGACCCCTCAAAACCATCCTATCTTCTGCAAAGACTTCAGCTGCCCCTCCCGGGCTCTCTGCTTCCACTGGGCACATGCTGATGCCCCTGAGTGGGCTGCTTTGGTGGTGGTGCTGCTGCTACTGCTGTGCCTGGTACCGCTTTGGACTGTGCACCCCAGCTCCCCAGATGTTGCGCCACCAGGGTCTCCTCAAGTGCCGCTGCCGCATGCTCTTCAATGACCTGAAGGTTTTCCTACTTCGGCGCCCCCCTCCAGCACCCCTGCCCATGCACGGAGACCCCCAGCCCCCAGGTTTGACCGCCAACAACAATACCCTTCCGGCTCTGGGTGCCGGGGGGTGGGCAGGCTGGAGGGGCCCTCGAGAAGGGGTGGGCAGGGAGACCCCTCCTCTGCCACCTCCACCACCTTTGCCACCTTCTTCTGTGGAAGATGACTGGGGTGTCCCAGCCACGGAGCCACCTGCCTCACTGCTCAGCAGTGCCTCCTCAAATGACTTCTGTAAGGGGAAGGCTGAGGACTGCTACTCACTGGGCAGCAGCCTGGACAGTGGCATGAGGACCCCGCTGTGCCGCATCTGCTTCCAGGGGCCAGAACAGGTAAGGCCATTTCCTCCTTTTCCTGCTTCCTTGTAGTGTCTTCAGATCTCGCAGATTGCTACTCGCCTACTTGCTCTGGGGAACCATTATGTTGTGTCTAATGTGAGGACTGTAAGTTTTAAGACTCTCAATGATGTTCTTTTGGTTAAGTTTGCCCCAAGAGGGTCTGGTTCCTGGTGGAGCCTGTTTGGTGGCTCGGTTGTATCCCAGTGTTTGCATGTTCCTTCCAATGCTAGTATCTTCAGTTCCATGTGAAAATTCCATAAGTGTCCTCAAAATAGAAGATCCAGAAGTCAGGAGCAATGAAATGAAGGAACTCGGTGGTCCGTTCACACTTGTCGTGAAGATGTCCTTTTGTCTGATTTATTGTGAGTGGCATTTTCCCCAGCTCATCTTCAGTCCCAGATTCAAACTTCTTCCCTCCATGAAAGTGAGCAGCGATCTTGTCCACTTTCCCTATTCTTATAGACCAAAACCCAACGAGCCTGTGCCTGTTCCTTCATTTTCATGTAGAGACTGTCCCCTCCCATATTACATTTCCTTCTCAGCAGTGTGTTTTAGTCACTGCAGAGAAAATGGAGAAGGATTCTAGGTCCAAGAAGACTGCAGTTTGCTAAGACACTTCTTGGCAGACTTGTGTTTCCTAGGTTGAAAGCAGGTAGGTAAGTGGGATGAGAGTGAATTTAAGGGAAATAGAGAGACTAATAGAGAATCTTGTTGTACCTAGTCCTCTCCTCAGGCCTGAAGCACATAAACTGAGATTGTCCCTTCCACTCTCCCCATCCAGGATAGAGAATGGCAAGTACCTCACAGACCAGAGTCTTCCCAAGTCTGAGAGTTTTCACTGCCCCATTCATTCAGATTTTCACAGACATACTTACCCCACCCCTTTGAGCTCCACTTTCAATCTAGTGTCTGCAATGCTGGATAGCATGTGCACATTCTTCCAGAGTCATATTGTGGCAGCTCTTTCCACAGAATCCCAGATCTGAACATCAGATCTAGTCAGTCATTCTGGGGAAAGAATACGCACTTGGGCCCTGGGCAGGGTTATGTGATCACATCAGCCACTTCTTTGTGGATTTCCTGGAAGTGGAGGGAAGACTTCTAGGTGCTCTCTGAACAAATGGCAGTGCACTGGGATGCCATGTTGGTGTCCCGAGTAGTCCTGGTTCTTGTTGGGGGCTTGCTCTGTAAGAGGCAGGCTTGGCTGACATTTTCATTCATTTTATCTCTGCTCTGAATGGGGAAAGCACTTCATGGACAGATGATGACTGAGGCCACACCCTGGGCATTATGAGGGAAGGAGTTATAGACATCCAGATGAATACATATCTCTGAGAGTTTGAGGGCTGGATTCCTTCTTCTTGTGATGAGGATTGCCTGAAGTCCCAAATAAAGTACCGCCCAGAGTTGAGGACTTCAGTTAGGGGAGAAGGTCCAGGGTCCCTGCTCCATGCCCTTTTCCCAGCCCTCCGCATCACCTCCAGTGCTGGGTCTCCAGCAGAGACACAAGGCAGAGTGGCTTGGCTGAGAGCAAGAGGGAACCTCACTTTGGGGACCACCTGGTCAGGATCTTGCCCGAATCAGGAGCCTCATCCATTCCCAGACAAGGAATTACTTAGTTTCTTAAGTTCTTAAGCTATTTCTTTCTTCTCCCATATGGGCTGGCTCAGGGCTGGATGTCACAGGGGCTGCTGGGAGTGTGGCTTCTGGTAAGAGTACCCTAGTCCATAGAGAACAGCATGACTTGGAGACTATTTGATGGGTGTGTGCAGTCCAAATAGCTTTATCTCACTGGGTTCTTTTTCCACTTCTGTGATTTCAAGACACCTTTTTCTGCTTCCCCTCCTTTTCTCATACTTGTTGAGAAGACCCAGGAGATAATGAGCATGAAAATGCCTTGAAAGGGATTAATTAATAATTGCATGTATTTTGATCATGAAAAAGCGTATTTTGTTGAGAAAAGAAAAAGAATGACATCATTAAGCATATTGTGAAACACTTTGTGTGCTACAGGGTTGGGTCAGAGATTACAAGATTTTCTTTCTCACTTATTATTCTCATGATGTGTCATGAAGAAAGCATTGACAAAAAAGCTAACAACACTGAGAGAGGAATGGGCTCTGTTATTATGTGGGAGAAACAGGATATTTTGACAGCATTAAGACTGGATCAAATCAAGTATTTCCTGTATATTATCATTACATTTTGGGATTTGCTTTATCTGTGCAGGAGCCAGGAGATTAGAATGAGAACATGTTATAGAAGTATTAAAAGCAATGTAGCTTAGATGTGGGGAAGGCATTTCCCCACTTTTTCTTCATTTTCCCCCACAGCATTTCAATAAGGAAGGGAGACAAAAGAGGGAGGAGATAGGGAAAACTTTCTAGAGAAGGGAGAGGGAGAGTGAGGGTGGAGAGAGAAGCTGAGCTTTTATTTCAGTATCTTAGTTTCTTTCTGCTCAGGAAGAGAGCTGTCCAGCATTTGTCCACATGTGACCCTGAAAGGCGTGCAGACAGACTGTAATCTCAGGGCTGAATGTCTTGGTCTTTTCCCTGCAGCCAAACAAAGGGACCGAACAGCTCCCCAGTCATCTGCCACTACTCCAAGGGCTAAAAGACTGCCAAACACGAAGATGTGGTCTCTTCCTGCCAATATGTGGTGAGGGACAACTGAAAGATCCAGCTAGTGTCACATATTTATACAGGATTTCGCATCACTCATTCATAAATGCATTTAACACACATGGACTGAGCTTCTACAGTGTGCCAGATGCTGTTCTAGGCACTGAGTATCCAGGAATAGACAAAACAGTTGAGATCTCTGCTCTCCTGAATTTGACAGTCTAGTGGAGATACAGAAATTGACAAATAAACTACTAGATAAATCAAGTGATTTCGGATGGTGTTGACTGCCTTGATAAAAGTAAAACAGGAAAATGAGTTAGACAAGAATGAAAAGGGGGGGCCTTGGGAAAGATGCAGCTGCATTAGATACAGTGTTCAGGAACAGCCTTCCTAAGAAGGTGCCCTCTGAGCTGACACCTACATGGTGAGGAGGATCCCCTGATGGAAAACCATTTCAGGTAGGGGGAACAGCAGGTTTAAAGGCCTCAGTGTGAATAAGCTGAGCATGTTTGAGAAACAGGAGGAGGGCGATGAGCAGGTGTGAACAAATGCTTTGAGAGACAACTTGGCTTCACCCTAGAAAACTGACCAAGTACCCACTCTCCTCCTTTCAGCCATTCATTCAGGTTGGATCAGGGTCAAGGTCCATGAGAGTGTAAGACAAGAGCCCAGTCACCAACCCTTCGCTCTCCATTTCTAGTTCACTTTGAGGGACAGTGAAGCCTGGTGGGTTAGCAGAGGTCTCTGAAGCCAGATGGTCCTAGCTCAAGGTCTGAACAAATTGTATAGCCTCTCTGTGCCTTGGGTCCTCATTTTTTTAAGTTGGGATAATGATGATCATCCCCAATATACAAGGTCATTGAGCATCAGTGCTGTTACAGTGTGTTGTTGTTGTTGTCTCAAATGCAAGGGAATGCTCCTCCTGCCTCGTTTAAAAGGAAAAATGTGCCCTGGCTCCCAGTCTGGCAGGAGGAGCGCTATAGTCGTGGTCTGGCTGTGTTAGTGGGTTGTTTTTTGTGCACTCAGAATGGTCTAGGGCAGGGGTGGGCAAACTTTTTGACTTGAGGGCCACAATGGGTTCTTAAACTGGACCGGAGGGCCAGAACAAAAGCATGGATGGAGTGTTTGTGTGAACTAATATAAATTCAAAGTAAACATCATTACATAAAAGGGTACGGTCTTTTTTTTTTTTTTTTTTTTTTTTTAGTTTTATTTATTTCAAACGGGCCGGATCCGGCCCGCGGGCCGTAGTTTGCCCACGGCTGGTCTAGGGGCACAGTGCTGCTCCTCTGCTTCCACCATCACAAGTATTAAGTGCCCACCTATGCCTGCTGCTCTGCTGAGCGAAGTGTAAAGACACATGGCCCATGTGGCCCTGCCCTCTGGGAGTTGCACAATCTAACCCAGACATCACGGAGGCTGATAGAGATCAAGAACACACAGACAGCAAGTCGAAGTGAATTGCAGTAATATCGGCTACAAGAAAGGGATGTATGTTTAAAGGCGGCTAGCGTGTGGGGTGCCTTTGCCATGAGGCAAGTGGGAGAATTTGCTACTTTTTCTCTAATTAGTCAGAGAGGGCTTCTTTAGTGTGGCTGCTGAATACCAAATGAGATGAAATAGACTTAGACTGAGTTTAGAAAGCTAGAAGCAGCCTGGCTGTGTTGCTCAGTGGTTTAGTGTTGACCCATGCACCAAGAGGTCACCAGTTCGATTCCCAGTCAGGGCTCATGGATGGGTTGTGGGTTTGATCCCCAGTGAGGGGTGGGCAGGAGGCAGTGGATCAATGTTGATGTTTCTCTCTCATCAATGTTTCTCTCTCTCTCTCCCTCTCTCTCTCTCTCTCTTTCTCTTCCTTTCTCTCTCTCTCTCAATTCAAAAAAAAAAAACATATAAAAAAAGAAAGAAAGCTAGAAGCATAAGAGATGTGAGACACATGGGTATCTCGACAAAGAGGTAAAACCAGCTCCTAGGCTGGGCCAGCAGTGGAGCACTTGGAGGTGGGTACAGAAATCAAACCCATCATGGTAGTGGTGGTGGCAGGATACCTGCAATGGAAATCAGGAAATGAGTCTGGAAGAGATTAATAGGCTTCATCTACCTCTTCCTCTTCCTGGGGTCGACCTCTCTGGAGCTCTGCATTCAGAAGGGGCAAGAGTAGTGTGGAATATTCTAGTCCAGTGATGGCGAACCTATGACACGCATGTCAGAGGTGACACGTGAACTCATTTTTTTGGTTGATTTTTCTTTGTTAAATGGCATTTAAATATATAAAATAAATATCAAAAATATAAGTCTTTGTTTTCCTATGGTTGCAAATATCAAAAAATTTCTATATGTGACACGGCACCAGAGTTAAGTTAGGGATTT